TTGTTGAGCAGCTCGGTTCGCTGCCACGTTGTTCTTGTCATTCATGTTGTTGTATGCCTGGTAGGGCATAGGGTTGCCTTGCAGGCCGGGCTCCTGCTTGATAGCAGGTCCCTCTGTCTTCACATAGGGGGCATCTGGCTTGACACCATTCTGGGGCTGAGCTTGGGCCGGGTTCACACCGGGTAGAGAAAGACCCTGAGGCACAGGGACATTGAGTTGTGGTGAGAACTGAGCCTGCGCGTGTGTAGGGGCCGCTGATGTAGGAGGAGGCGCAGGTTGAGCAGGAGGTGGGGGATCAGGCTTGGGATCCCATGGGAACCGGGCAACGTCGAGTTGGGTCAGTTTCCGTTGCCATCCCTAGAGTTGAAGCCATGTTAGTCAACTGATGCAACCGAAACAAGGCAGAGAGTGCAAGTCTGAATAGGTGCAAGCAAAGACAAGATGTTGTGTGTTTGTGCCTGTGCATGTGCCTCAACCTCATTCTGTGCTTCGCCTTGTCTCATCAACTTTCCTCTGGCAAGGCAGACAAAAGAAAACGAGAATAGGCAGCAGCAGCGTTTGATAGGTTGTGCAATGTGTGATGCCTGGTGGTGCAGGGCGATGCAGGCCAAGTGGGTTCGTGATAGGACGAGAAAGCACGTGAAGTGGATTGTCTTGTGAGGGGTGAGGGGATTCGGAGCCAAAGAGTCCAATCAGAGGGCGGAGGCCGATAGTGGGAGGAGTCACAGGGCGAGGCGCGGCAGGGGCTTCGGGCTTAAAAGACCCAAATAGTGCTGTGTCGCCCCCTCCCGTAACCCCTAACCCGCCATCTCCCTCCGCTCGCTCAGCGCGACCCTCGGCGCTCACCCGCCCATCAAAACGCCCCTCATGAGGTCTTTTGTCCAAAAGCCTGACAATGCCAGCTGCATCGCCGTCGTCGCTTTCTCTTGAAAGACGACATACTTGTCCTGGAGAATGGAGAGGAAAGCATCGGCCGCGAGGTTGTTGTTGAGGGCCTCCCCATCTTGGGTAATGCGAACATCGAAACAACAAAACAAACTCGAGGCAACAACATAGTAAAAGCCTGTCTATCTTACCTGTCGCAGTTCCTCCAGCACTGATTCCTCGATACCGCTCTCCTCGAAATCGACCCGCGAGCTGTTGATGACCTCGTCGATGATGGTCTGATAAACGTTTCCGACCGCTTGGTTCGACATGCTTCCGGTATCGGGCTAATGCTGCCGACGGACACGAGTTTGTGTGGGGAGAAACAAAGAGGACTCTCGACTATCCGTGACTCAATGCCTTTTGTTGATGCGCCGCGAACTCAGAGTTGTCGGGGCTGCGCCTAGGCAAGCAGCAGCAGCACAAGGGACTTGGCGATGGTGCGGCGGCGGCGATTTGACGGCGCGACAACGAGAGGAGTGTTCCAGAGAAGCAATTCAATCCGCGCGATAGGTAAGATGTAGCCGGACGCGCAAGAAAGAGTGACAGAGCAGGGCGCGATGTGCGACTTGCTTGATGCTTGATAATCGAATAGACCGTGACCGACGTTGGTAGTAGACGTGCACTTGACAACCAACCAACTGAGAAGCAAGCAGAACGAGTTGCGACAGAAGAAAAAGCACTCTCGAAATGACCAAATAGATCAAGACTGGAGAAAACTAGGATGCGCCGCAGAGAAAGGGATTCGTCGGCCGCGTCGCACGGGGGTTCGTAGACGAAGAGAGGTTCTTGTCTTGTGGCAGGTTGGAGTGCGCCTTTGTGATGTGCAGTGGGGAGAGTTGGTAGCCTCTGGTAGAATCTGGGCTTCAACAACTGCGTTGGTCCCGGGGCTGACTCAGCACCTACTAGGCTTCTCAGCGGGCAAGTGCCAGTGGAGGCAGGGCCAGGCACACCGGGCACCACCATCCATTCACTGAGGTGCACCCAACAGCCGGCAGGTGCCACTAACAGGGCTGAGTGCCTGGAACTGCTCAGCCATTCATGGATGGAAGCGCAATACAGGCCTGATAAGGAAACTGAAAGACATTTCTTTAACTTGAAGCTTTTGCTCTTGTCTTTCTTTTCTCATTACTTTTCTCATTCATTCTTACTGAAACGTGGTAGCCGAGTGGAGTCTCGTGACTTTACTTTGGGTCACTCAACCTCAGTTCTTGCAGTTCATATTCTAATTAAATACAAATAAGGAAATTCTTGTAAATCTTGAAAGTCTGTAAATCCCAGCCGGTCTCGTAAATAAATCTAGGCTACCAAGCGCCTAAGAGGATGTGCCTCAGTGTTGAACACAAACTCGTCCAAGTTGATGAGATCGGGGTTGCTGAAGATGAGGTAAAAGTACTTGAGAGTCTCGCCCATCCAGAAAGACTCCATCGAGTCCACCTCGCGCGGCTTCTCATCAGGCACTGTTACATCCCATACAGCCGTGTTGGCCAGCTCTGTCTTGGTGGCCTCCTCAATGGCCTTGAACATGGTCCACGCGTGTTCAGCAAACTCGGCTTTGCCTGTCACACGGTAAAGCATGAAGACGCTCTCGATGGCCTCGGGGCGTAGGATATATCGGCGGTCCGGGATCTTTGTGAAGCCTTTGGGAAGATGCTCATCTTTGATAATCGCATCCACCTGTGCCATGTCGCTTTCCTGTATCTTGGCCTCCTTGAGAACGCCCTCCTTCCATCGCTTCTCATCCCATTCACACGCCTCTTGGCTGGCGCAGGGGATCATGTAAAAGGTCTCAGGCATGATTCCGTGAGGGAACGCCTGGTATGTATAGATGCACCCATTGGTGAGCTTGACGGCGGCATCAATGTCCTGCTCGCGGTTGAACAGTCGTCCGCCCAGCGCCATCATGCCTCCAAGGAAACACACCAGATGCTGGCCTTGGCTCTCCAACTCCAGCTGAATCTGTCCGTCCTTGTTCTTGGCATGAATCTGCCCAGAGATGAGAATGTCATCGTTCTCTGGTGTCATCGGCCGGAACAGGTTGTGCTGCAGTGCTGTGTCCATGGCCTTCTCGTACATGGTCTGGTAGATGGGCAGCTGGCCACCCATCATAGCAGCCATCTTGGGCAGATACTCGTACACAGAATCTGCCATCGCACCAAGAGTATAAGTAGAGCCCTGGTTGAAGACCTGGCTCTTAGCATCCACAACCACGGGCCATTGACCCGGCAGCATCGTCGAGCCTTGCTGCACGGCCAACAGGTCCATGATAGTCTGCGACGCGTCAAACCACTTAGGGTCGCCCGTCAGTTGTGAGAGCTTTGTAAGCTCCATGCACAGGCTACCAATCTCAGCGAGAAGAACGCCAGCACCGGCAATTTGGTCCTTGCCCTCCTTGGCGGCCTGGAAGTTCCAGCGGGCGATAGGCATGTGGTTGGGAGTGTCAAAGGCCTTGTAGATCATCTCGCCAACCTGGACGGCCTTGCGCAGGAGACGCATGTCACCGCTGAGCTCAAAAGCAGAGAGGAAGCCTCCGAGATAACGAATGTTGGTCTCGAAAATATTGACTTCCTTGAGGTCTGTCTTGGTAAAGTCGATCTCGTCGACGGCAGCAACCGCCTCGTTGAACTCATCCTTCATGTCCATAATCCACAGCGAGTCCAGGGAATCAACCAGAGTAGCGGCCCAGCCGCCAAAGGGATTGGTCTGGCCTCCGGATACGGGGCTGAGCTCATCAGCCATCCACGCGTGCTTCTTGTACGCGTTCCAGCATCGTGTAAACGTCTCCTTGACTGCCTGCTGGCGCTCACGGCGTAGCTCGGCGGCGCTCACCGTGAACTCGGGGAACGTGGCCTGGACCTTGGGGAACTTGACGGGAGCAGCGGTGGGCAGTGGCTGGAAAGCGGAATGAGGATAATTGACCTTGACGGAGCTCCAGAGATAGCTTGCATCCTGGTCGGTTCGCCAGAGCGAGGCCTTCACGGGCCAGCCGTGGTTCTGAAAGCCGCCGGCGCTGTAGTAGCCAGGTCCAGGGGCCTTGCTGGTCCAAAAGAAGAAGAGGACCAGCGTCATCAGGCCGCCTATCAAGACGAGCCCTCGTGTGCGGAACAGCAGCATGGTAAAGACTCGTTTTGATGGGTGGTTTGATGGGAGAAGAAGAAAAATAGCTTGTTTGGGCTTTGGATTCGAGACGGGAACCTGAAGGGAGGGAAACCAGGGGGCGTCCGTCTCCCGAAGCTAAGGTTGAGCGTAATCTCTCCAGGGTCTGGCCTTAGAATAATCTAAACTCCGGCTGGGCGAGTTTCGAAACTTTCCAGGGTGCATGCAGCCCGTAGGCTCCGCCCCCACCAGCCGCTATCACAGGCCATACACAGTCATGACGCGCACTGCTGCATTGTTTACAGTTGAACGTGTAAGTTTGAGTGTATTCAAGAGCTCATCAAAGAATTGGATGAGACTTTAGGCGAGCCAGTAGATGAGTTGGTAAACGAGTAAGTAGCTAGCTAAGAGAAAGCACAACTCATCCCTAGGTAGGTAGTTATCGGCTAACTCTGGCTTATCATGTCGAACTTACACCTCACTCCAGGACCATGGTATTCAGTGGCAGCATACGCTATGCGCACAGCTAAAGTATTTATAACCAATGTATTGTCTTGTGTGGTAAACTATCTACTCAATGTCGCGGTCTTAATCATCTTTGTTACACTTTAGCATCTGGTGTCTTCAGCTCATTGAAGCCCAAGTCAAGCCCATCATGTCACAGCATTCAATCAACGCGATATAAATCAAAACCATGCTCCTGGTATTTTCAATTCCAAAGACAAAATTCAATGCACCTATTCGCCCAATCCCAATATTACCAACACGATTCCTTAAACTCCAACAATAAACAATTGCCAATTTGTCGGCTTCCATCATAACGGTCATGACCATTCCGTTCCGTTCGTCTCTACGTGGAGAAGCACTTTCGTACCACGCGTACAAGGGCAGGCAAACGCCCAAACTCCGTGCTTCAAAATCCAGAGAGACCCAGATACCAGTGAAAGATCATACCTACCTGGCCCAGTGGGTACTGGTGCTTATCGGATAGTCATCTGCTTGGCCATGGAGGCCTTGCTGGAGGCACCAGAGGCACCGATGCCAGCGGAGGCACCAGCCTTCTTCTCAAAGATCTTCCAGAACTTCAAGCTCTCATCAGCAGCTAGTGACATGTTAGCAAAGACTCTTCTTCAAGGATTGACAGCTGTTCTTACCAGCAGTAGCCAGCATCTGGCCGTCGGGGCTCAGGCTGCTGTGGAGGACTCGGCTCTCGTGGGCAGGGATCTCGACAGTTCGGACGAGAGTAGGGTAGCTCCAGATGCTGAGAGAGTTGTCGGGGAAACCGCTAGAGCTGACAATCTCGCGGTGGTGGGGGCTCCAGCGGAGGGAGGTGACCTGAGAGCCGGTGTCGATGCTGTTGACGCGAGCGCCAGAGGTCGAGTTCCAGAAGTGGATGTGACGGTCATAAGAACCACCGCCAGTGGCGAGTAGGTTCATGTTCCAGGGGCACCAGGCAAGAGCCTTGACGGCAGCCTTGTGGTTGGTCTTGGTGAACTTGGGAACAGACAGAGATCGAGCGTCCCAGATGGAGACGAGGTTGTCGTTGCCGCCAGTAGCGAGCTGAGCACCATCGGAGCGCCACTCAAGACCGCAGACCTCAGAAGTGTGAGAGACAAGCTCAGCAACCTTGTGCTCGGCGATGCGGACATCGTGGTTGAAGACGAGGCCGCTGCGGGCACCGGTGGAGAGAAGGTGCTTGTTCCAGCCCATGACACCAACGCGGGTCTCATGGCCGAACATGCTGCGGATCTTCTGGCCCTCAGCGACATCCCAGATCTGAACCTCACCGGTTCCCAGGCCAACACTGACGTAGGCGCCATCGCCAGACCACTTGACACTGCTGACGTAGGTGTCGGGGGTGGTCTCAAGCAGGCAGCTCACACTGCCCTCATCGGCAGACCAGACGTAGACGTTGCGCTCAAGACCAATGGCAACCTGGTTGCCGGAGCTCCAGTCAAGAAGGTTGAGGTAGTAGTCGTCGACCAGACCGGGGGCATCAAGGACACGCTCAGGGGCGGTAGCGATGCGGCGTCGCAGCTGGGCAGAGCTGGAGGTGGCAGACTTGAGAGGTCGGTTGTACTGCTGTCGCAGATCGATGGGCTTGGAAGACTCAGGGGCGGCGGGCTTGAACTCCAGGATACGGGTGTTGAGGCTCACGCCGCAAGCGTTGGCCAGGGAGTCTTGGTAGGCAACAGTGTTGGGAGAAGGTCGGGAGTAGTTGTCAGGCTCATCGTCGTCGTTGATGTTCAGGTTCTCGAGAGCAGCCATGGCCTCGTCAGCAGCAGTGGAAAGAACCGAGGAGGAGCTGTCAGTGCTGCTGCTCTTAGGTCGTTGCCGATCAGACAGATCCAGCTTGCCAGAGCCAGCGTTGGCGATGGCCGAGCTGGCGCCACGGTTGGGGATGAAACGGTCGCCGCCGTAGTTGAGAGTGGTCTTGGTGGGCTTGCCACGGATGCTCTTCTTGGACTTTGTACTGGAAGGGGTCTTGGTGTTGTTGCCGGTACCGGTAAGAGTGAAGTCAGAAACGCCCAGCTCGAGAGCCTTGCGGGGAGTCTGAACACCACGGGCAATGTTGGACTTGGGGGAGTCCCGGTGCGAAGCCTTGGAGGTCGATCGGGCAAGGTGAGACATGAGGTTGCCGCCATAGGTGGAGCGGCCGTTGACCCTAAAGTCATTGCTGGACTGTCGCTCGGGGGTGAAGGGAGACGAGTTCAAGTTGACGGGGACATTGGTCGATGTCTGTTGACGAGGAGAGGGAGTCAAGGGCATCCGTCCGCCAGCGGTCCGGGCAGAGAAGAGTCCCTTGTGGGACTTGATGGGGGTCGTCACAGCTACGGAAGCCATTGTGAGGACTGTGAGGTAAGCAGTTTCAAGAGACACTAGCTAAAGGTTCCTGTTTATTAGTATTCTTTATCGGGATCAATGATCGATAATATCGAAAAAGACGCCTTCACAAAGATGCAACGAAGTCGGAGGGGCGATCAGATGGCCAAGGCGATAAGATCTAGCGGACTTTGAAAAATTCTTGTGGAGAGCAATGGATGAGCGTTTGAGAGTGAAGCACAAGGCTTGCGTGAGCGATGAGTATGAGAGAAGATGTGAGGAGGAGAGCGGATGGAGTGTGGTTGATAGTGAAGAGAGAAGCTGTCCAGAGGTGAAGCCATCGAGGTCTTTTATTTACTTTGAGCCCCACCATGCGTCTGTCCGGGCAACCAGTTTAAGTGACGTCGGAGTGAAGCTAAATCCGTTCCGCGCCCCGGAAACGCAACCGAACCAATCACGGCGACGCCAAGCCACGAGCCTTGCGCCGCGCCACAAGCAAGAGCCCACTCAAATTTCTCTTCGCTGCGGCGAAACGGGCCAGGCCCAGGGTCTCTTCGACGAGGCATCACCGCATCCCACGTCTCACGAATCCATCCACATCCACTCGACATCCACTTCCCTTCCCTCACCGACCGGCCGACCCACGAACCGAGATCGTCATCACCGACCGTATCGCGGTCGACGCTCCCTTCATCTCCTCATCCCTCGCTTGTCTTCTCTCTCCGACTGCTGGTCTGTCCTTCGCATCAACAAACCAACGTCGCGGCATGAGCAGGTAGCGCCACACGTCGCTCCCTCGGCTTACACTTTGCAATTTACGCCATGGCTCAACCTTCAACCCCCGGCCAGGTGCCGACCTCCATCTTCGGCGGGCCTACCCCTGTCGCCGGATCAACGCAGCCCGCCGGCGTCGCAAACCAGACATCCAGCTCTACGGCGCTTCAGCTGCACCAGACTGCCACGCCGCCGTCTGCGGCATCTGCTGCCTCGTCTGGCAATACCTACATTATGCCCAACTCGCCCGCAAAGGGCCGTAGTGTGGCAGATGGATACCGACCCAAGATCACCCGCACGCTAGGCCAGAGACCCGCCTGCCTAGTCAACGCCTCTGTGACGTATTGTGGGAATAACCAGATCTACGCCTTTGGTGGTTTTGATCAGTATACCGATGAAGTTTACAACCATGTGCTCAGGCTGGACCTTGTGAGCCATCAATGGAACCTCGTTGACAACTATGGCGACATCCCTGGCGTTCGAATGGGTAAGTTGCCTGCTGCCCCTCAGGCTTGTTTGTGGGGTAGCACTAACTGATCGCGTGCAGGACATACGGCGACGCTTTACCAAGGGAACAAGCTCTTGGTGTTTGGCGGCGAGAATGAACATCGAACCTACCTATCCGACCTGATCATCTTTGATCTCAAGACCGCTCATTGGACTCAACCTCAAGTGTCAGGCCCGATTCCCAAGGGCAGAGCGAGGCACGCCGCTGTCCTACACGAGGACAAGCTCTTCATCATCGGAGGCATCACGGGCCAGAACAACTACGTGTTGGATGACATTTGCTACCTCGACTTGAAGACATTCACTTGGTCCAAGGCATGGCGCTTCGTCGGACGCTTCGATCACTCGGCATACATCTGGGGCGAGAGAGTATGGGTGTTTGGGGGCCTTAGTGAGGACATGGACAAGATCAGTGATCTGTGGTGGCTGGATCTGAAAGGAAGCCCTCAGTTTGATTCGAGGCCGCAGGTCGGCATCTTCGATCGAAGCTCCCTTTCCACTCGAGCAAGCGGCTCTCCAAGGACGCCATATACCATGCCGCAGACGACAGCTGTTGGTGCTTCTGGATACGCCGCAAACTCTCGAACAGCGCAAGTGAACCCTCCATCATTCCAGCTCAAGTCTTATGCACCTCTCGCTCCTGGGTCCATATCGGCGCTCAAGTTCATGTCTGGACCATCAACTCCATCTCAAGGCTCAGGTATTCACTACCATGCCTACTCCTCTGGGACTCTCATCGACTTTGTGACGCCTGCGGCTACGATATCGCCGAGAGAATGCTCGCTCTCCGCCTTGGACCTGGGGACTCTTCGGTGGACAAAGCTCGCCGAAGGTCGAGAAATCTTCAAATCGGGCTATCGCTGGCACTACTGCACTATGAACGAAGATGGCACCAAGGCCTGGCTGCTTGGGTGCCCGACTGACCCTGCTGCAACCGACTTGGGCCCCAATGGCTATGAAGAGTATCTAAGGTAAGCAGATGTTGTTCATGGACCATTTGTAACAGTATCTCTAACCCATATCACAGTGACATCATGGAAATTGATCTTCGAAGATACGGCTTCCTCGGCGATCACTTGACGCCGGAGCCCAGAGCAGAGTCGAGGCCATCGGCGTTTACAAGGGGAACAGATCAGCCATCCAAAGGTCTTGGTTCGGATCTCGCAAAGCTCTTCAACCAACCCCCTGAAACGGGGAGTGGTACTGACTTTGTCGTGACTGCATTGGCTGGAGAGTATGAAGATGACGAGACCCTCAGCTCTGGACTCATCTGCGCCGATGGGCAGTCCCAGGACCAGAACTGGCTCTCGCCAGATGCGCCGACATCTCAGCCCATCCATGTGCACAAACTCATCTTACAGGCCCGATGGCCACACTTTGCACGTTTGTACAACTCGCAGATGGCCGAGTTTCACACCAAGAAGATGCATATCCCTGAGCCATATACAGTGGTCAAGGCCTTCCTCTATTACCTGTACACGGACAGCATCCGCGGCACATCAGACGCCGAAAGCGATGCGACAACTGCGCTCTCGGACGTTGCTGGCCTGCTAGTCATGTCCAACATCTACAACATTCCCCATCTCCGTCTGCTCTGCGTAAATCGCCTCGCCAAAGAGCTCGACGTTGACCACGCCTGTATCATCTGGTACTGTGCTGGCCTGGCCAACGAGGAGTGGCTTCGAAAGCGTGCCGCCAGCTTCTGCATGACGCACTGGGGCCGCATCGTCCGCACACAGGGCTTCCTCAGGCTTCCTCGCACCGCACTCGTCGAGCTCTCCCAAGAGATCGACATGGAAGGCCGTGTTATCGGCGGTGAGGAGCTCGAGTGGGGCAACATGAATGGCCGGTATGGCGACATGAGCCATTCTGCTCGTAAGGAGAGCATCAGCAGCAACCACACTCAGATGATCGAGTCCGAGGCCGATGATGATGATGGCATGGAGATGACCTGACGCCTCTATGCAAGCGCTGCCATGCGTATCAGACGCCTGTTATAACTTTATCCCACCAACCACAAAAGCAATCCTGCTGCACCCCACGTTTCACGAAACACTCGATCTTGACGACGTCACGCAAACGAAGGCCATTAGAGGCCCCATTTCCTTGTCTTTTTGTTTCCTCTCTTTTTTGTTCTTGCTTCCTTGCCTTGCTTCCCTGCCACTAGCATTGGCTCTTGTCCCCCCCTAACACACGCAGGGGGGGGGGGGTTCAGGCGGGAGTGGCACTTTCTGTCTCACTCCGCGACAGGCGAGCTAAGCTTTTTTGTCTCACACGCAGCACTTCCGGTATATGGGCGCTGCATCCGGTATGTCTTGACGGTATGGAACGGTATGGTATGGTGGTATATAGAGTCTGCAGGGGTCACGTTGGTTTTTCCTCATGTCAAATGCGGTGTTGGCCGGGCCTTGTTCGCTGTTGTTTTGGAAGCATCGCAAGGCGTTTGGTAGTCGTATCTGTCATGAAAGTGTGCTTTTTTATCATCCTACAAAAATAGATATAACAGGAAGCGGCTAGCTCTCATTAGAAACCCGTTCGACCATGTTCTCTGAGTGACATCTTCATTCTGGGCTTCTTAAACTCAACACGGAGTTGTTTCCAAAGCCGGCAAGGTTAGTATTCGCATGAAAGGTTAGTGTAGTTTCCAGCTTGGTTCTGTTTGCAGAAAAGCTCATGTCGATCACGGACATAGCGTTAGGCCATCCCTCGTCTTTCACATGGCAGACCGACAAGTCAACTCCAAGGTAGATGGCCTTGGCTAACACAAACTATCGACGGACAGGCGATCACGACAAGTAGGGTAAAGAAACAATCGATGCAATTCAAACCCTTCCCTGATATCTATTGCATAAACGTAAACTTGAACAGTAAAGTCAATCCCACCACGCCAGAGCCATACTGCCCAGTCTATATACATCATGGCGTCGCTTTTCGGTTTCTCGCTTCCGCTCCAGCATCGCTTTTTTCATCCTCCCGCTCTCATTCCATTCCCGTCTCGATAATGACAGACATTGCGAGACTGGACTGCAAAAACCACCATCTCACCATGAGAGAGTGAGACTGGACAACAAAACAACGACCCAGCGTTCAACAACGAGCAGTAAATCAAGCAAAGAGCAAAACAAAACAAAACAAAAAACCACCGAGCTTTTCTTTTACAGGCGTAAACATCAAAGGCGTTCCCGGGGATCCATGTAAATGCCAGTTTTCCCAACCTGTCGTCTAGCTTGCAAGCATTCAACAACTTTTTCAACATAACTCAGCCACCAGCTTGTCATGAACAAGGAAGGACAAAAGGCCCAGACAAAAAGAGAGGCAACAATGTCCAAGAATAGGGCCATCTCCAAGAAGCGCGGGGGAAAAATAGGCCCAGGTTGATCGACGCAATTAATCCGGTGCCAATAGTCTTTAATCCTGTATGGGGGTTTGCCAGTCCGGAGGATAGATAAAGACCCATAAGAGAAACACAATGAGAGGCGTCGGTTGAAGAGTCGGGCGTTCAGACGGGTAGAACAAACCATTAAAGAGGAGTAAGAGAGACAAGCGCATATAAACAAACAAACATCAAACTTTTGGGGGTTGGGATTCGACAGCCTTGAGGCTGAGGACAATCTCCATCTCTGTCGTTTCCGGTGACTAGAGCTGCAAGCATCCTGATAACAGGTACCTTAACGCCTTTGCAAAATGCTATCAATCGGGGGCATAAAAATCAAGCAAAGGTCCAAAGGGGTATTGACAAG